GTCTGGTCGTGGGGCCTGAACTCTGGGCCTGGTTGCTGTCCCTCAGATCTTCAGCTCAAGGCTAGCACTCTACCACTTGAGCCACAGTGCCACTTCCAGCTTGTTTCTTTTTGCTTATGTGGTACTGAGGAATGGAATCCAGGGCCTCAGGCATGCAAGGCAAGCGCTCTACCACTGAGCCACCTTCCCAGCCCTCACTTTTTTTTTGGAGACAAAGTCTTGCTAATGTGTAGCCCAGGCTTCAGCCTCCCAAGTGTTAGCATTACGAGTGTGTACCACTGTTTTAATAATTTAAATATACTTTAATGCATTCTAAAAGATATTTTCAAGTTTTTATTTCTATTTGAGTGGGTTTTTTATTTGTGCACATATCTGTTATTTTGTGCATTTTCTTTCAAAAGAACACAAAGAAAAGGATATTCACTTCTGCTAAATCAAACTCAAAAGGTAATTTTCCCACAGAACATGTATTTTAAACTTCTAGTCTTAAAAAGACTGATTTTGAATCGTGTTCAATTTTTTTTTTTGTGTGCCAGTTCTATGACTTGAACCATACCTCCATTTCTGGCCCTTTGCTGGTTATTTGGAGATAAGTCTCATGGACTTTCCTGCCCCAAGTGACTTCAAACTGTAATCCTCAAATCTCTGCCTCCTGAGTAGCGAGGATTACAGACATGAGCCATGATGCCCAGCTTCAAAATCTTCCTTATATTGCCTAACACATACATTACTCTACTGGCTGCTTTTATGAAGGCTTATGATTTGAGAGCTATGTTTAATATTTCAACCCGTGAAACATTGTTTATCCCTTACCAAGTTTCAAAGGTTATTTTGATATTTACTTTGCTTTTGGCCTGAACTATTCTAACTTAGCTGGTTGTTAGTGACTCACACCTGTAATCCTACTCAGAAGGCTGAGATCTGGAGGGTTCGAAGCCAATTTCAGCAGAGAAGTCGGTTCAGAGATTAATCTTCAAAATAACCAACAAAAAGTCAGATCTGAGGCATAGTTCAAGGGCAGAGTTCCTGCTGTGAGCAAGCCAACTGCTTGTAAGTAGAGTAAGTGAGAATTCAATGCTCGTGTTATAAAAAACAAAAAAGTATTCTTAGTTCACTAATGCTATCTTTCCAAGAATGAACATTCTTATTTGTGATTATGTGTAACTGATGAATAAACCCAGGAAAATAAGTGACTATATCAGACAAAAGATATCCTGTACAAAAATAAAGTCAGTTTTGGGGCTGGGAAGGTGGCTCAGTGGTAGAGCGCTTGCCTCGCATGCATGAGGCCCTGGGTTCGATTCCTCAGCACCACATAAGCAAAAAAAAAAAAAGAGTTCAGGCCCCATGAAAGGACCCCCCTCCCCAAAAATAAAGTCACTTTATGTGAAAAGGTTATCACTATCTGTCTATCACAACTGGTTAGCTATTATTACTATATTCAGAATATGGCAAAGTAAACTAGTAATATGTGTCTACAGATATCTCCTTGTATATAATTTAAAAACTGGTAGCTTTTTTTCCCTTCTGGTTCTGGGTTTGAATTCAGTACCTCTTTGCCCTCAAGGCTAGTGATCTACCTTTTTTTTTTTTGGGTCCGGGATTTTTTTTGGTTGTTTTTTTAGACAGGATCTGGCTATATTTGGCTCAGGCTGGCTTCTAATTTACTACTTAGCACACGTGGGCCTCGAACTCACAATGTTCCACCTCAGCCTCTGCGAGTGTGCCAGAATGAGCCACCATGCCCAGTTGGGACTACAGACTATTAGCCTTGTACTTTTGCCAGTCTGGTAGGAAAACAAATTTTAACAGTTGCTGTTATTTAACTTTTTTCTTTAATTATTCATGTTTATTACTTATTTGTATTTATCCTGCTACTTCTTCGTGTCTTTTGACCTTTTTTTAAAATTTGAGGTATTAGCTGTTAAATAGCAGCAGCAAAATCCAATGGAATTGGGAATACAACTGCATTACTTACCCCAATAATATAAAACAGTTATCTACTTCAGTCATGTAAATTTCTGCTTCATCTGGTTAAGGGTGTGGCTCAAGTGGTAGAGCACACCTACATAACAAGTATAAGACTCTAAGTTCAAGTCCCAGTTATGTCCCCTGGAAACACACAAACAAACAAAAAATCCCAATAGTACTGTCTGTCTGTCAGGCAGGCAGGCAGTCCATTAGTCATCAATAAAGATGTAGTAAATTTCTATTATGACTACACACTCCTAGGGCTTGAGGATCTGTGGTTTTACATTCCTGGCCATTCAACAAATTATTAAAAATAGTGATGGTGCAGGGGCTGAAGCTCAGGAAATTTCCCTAAGAAATGTAATTTAAATTGTGATAGGAAGACTCAATAGAAATTAAGAAAGAAAGTGGGAATAAACATGCTTACAGGGAGTTTGTATAAAACTTGAAGGTGCAGACATTATGATGCTCTCTGACTTGGATGTAGAAATCAACAATAATATGATAATATATAATGGCAAGTTTTTCTTTTTGTTTGTTTGGCAGTACTATGATTTGAACTCCAGGCCTTGTATTTCCTAGGCAGGCCTTCTAAGACTTCAGTCCATGCTCCTGTCTTTTTTGGAAGTGGGGCTCTGGCTCAGGTCTGGGCGCTGTTTCTGAGCTTTTTCGCTCAAGGCTAGTGCTCTACCACTTTGAGCCATTGTGGGATCCAGTTTTCTGGTGGTTAATTAGAGATAAGACAATCACGAGCTGGCCTGCCCAGGCTGGCTTTGAACTACATTCCTCAGATTTCAGCATCCTGAGTAGCTAGGATTATAGGCAGCCACCAGCAACTGGCTACCCCATCCTTTTTTAGTAAACCAGTTATGACTCCTGGGTATCTAGGATTACAGCTACACACCACTATGCCAAGTTTATTGATTGATTGAGATGGGGGTCTCATTAACTTTTTGCCTAGAATCGTTTCCAACTGCGATCTTTTTAATCTTTGCCTCCTAAGTAGCTTATATTACAGATGTGAGCCACTATGCTTGGCCTAGATAGCGAATTTTTACTTATGTACAACTTAGGCTGTTAAGGTTAGTTCTAGGAGACTAAAATGTATTAATTCATTTAATATTTCCAATTTCTCTGAGGTTGATAAACAGGTGTGCCTAGTGTCTGCTGAAAGCAACATCAGAATATAGGCAACTAGGATTCTGAGTGTGAGTGGTATAGAAGAAGGCTGAAGGAGGGTTGGATAACCCAGATTTATGAGGAGTTTTGAATTTAACTTAAGAACAAAGGGAAACTATGAAAATTTTACATGCTATTAGAGCTTATTTTCTTATTTATTTATTTAATTTTAAAGAGTAGTTATATAGGGGCTGGGAAAGTGGTTCAGTGGTAGAGTGCTTGCCTTGCATGCATGCCACACTGGGTTCAATTCCTTAGCACCACATAAGCAGAAAAAGCTGGAAGTGGTATTGTGGCTCAAGAGGTAGAGTGCTAGCCTTGAGCTGAAGACCTGAGGGACAGCGCCGAGGCCCAGAGTATAGGCCCCACAACCAACAAAAAAAAAGAAAAAAAGAAAAAAAAAGAGTAGTTATACGAGTACTTAAGTCACCCTGGTGAAAATGAGAAAATGAATTAGACAGAAGAGAGAGTAGGTGCAAGGAGGTCAGTCAGGAGCTACTGTGGGAATGCAAGTAATGAATGACAGTGGCTTGGCCAAGTGACAGCGGTGGAATGAGGAACAAAGGTGAAGAAACTAAATGTAAACAAGGAAAACCAGAAGTCAGGCAGAAGACAGAAGGTTGGCATTTCAAGAATCAATGTGACATGGTAAGGTCTTTTAAAGACTGAACCAGGCTCCTAACTCACTCAAGCTAAAGCAGCTGCATGGTGTTTTCACTGAAGAGGATGCAATAAACAATTCTATTCACATGTGATGAAGCGTCATGACAATGGCACACAGGTACTAGAAGATACAGGATGTGTACATCTAGGAAAAGGACATAATAACATTTGCACTTGGATGGGAGACAAAGAAGAACAGTTCAGGATCATTCAAAGAGGATAACATGTAAAATCACCTTGATTTTAATAATTTGCAAATTCTGAAATAAACATGCTCTAGAAAATGAAATGATTTGAAAATTTAAGAAAATGTCAAGGAAAATCCTGAGGTAGGGTTGAATTTAAAGATTATCAGTTAAAAATTGCACAGCTGGGCGCTGGTGGCTCAGGCCTGTAATCCTAGCTACTCAGGAGGCTGAGATCTGAGGATCGAGGTTCAAAGCCAGCCCAGGCAGGAGAGACCGTGAGACTCCTATCTCCAATAAACCACCAGAAAACCAGAAGTGGCGCTGTAGCTCAAGTGGTAGAGCACTTGCCATGAGCTGAATAGCTGAGGGACAGCGCCAGGCCCAGAGTTCAAGCCCCACGATCGACCAAAAAAAAAAAATGTACTTGCACAGGTAGGAATAAAAATTGGTTCATATTCTGTTTTTTTTTTTTTTTTTTGCCAGTTGTGGGGCCTGAACTTTGGGCCTGGGCGTTGTCCCTCAGCTTTTCAGCTCAAGGGTAGAGCTCTACCACTTGAGCTACAGTGCTACTTCTGGCTTTTTCTGCTTATGTGGGTGGTGCTGAGGAATTGAACCCAGGGCCTCATGCATGCAAGGCAAGCACTCTACCACTGAGCCACCTTCCCAGTCAATTGGTTCATATTCTATAGCTCATATTGGAGAGTATATATATATTGGAGAGTGTGTGTATGGAAGTGTGTATAAGAAACTGATAACACTAACTGCTCAGGGAGGAAAACTGGGGGACTGACTGCCTGGGGAAAATTCTGCTGTATAACTCTTGCTCTGTATACTCATGTGTGCCTTTTGGAGTTGGGACCATGTGAATATAGTACATTTATGTAAAATATTGCTATTGGTAAATCTTACCAATTACTTGAGGACATTTATTTGAACCAATAGAATAGAGCAATTATTATAAACATCCCCTGTGGAAACATTTAGACTATATGTACATACCTGGCATTCTGTTTCATTAGTTTTCATTGTCTTGAAGTCATCTTGTTTGCTTATAATCTTCTGCAGCTAAAAAGATTGCAAACATGAGTTTACATGTCTGCCTACTGGAGTTTTCAAAATATATTATTAAATACTAACTTAAATACTTTCTTTTTTTAAAAACGTACATACTTTCTATATGATAAATTGCTATCCTCTTTCTCTTAGACCATGTAAAAATCAAATAATAAAACAGATAAAAGTACTAACACTATTATTAGTGTAATTCTCTCTTTTTTTTTTTTTTTTGGGTCTGGTCGTGGGCCTGAACTCTGGGCCTGGGCGCTGTCCCTCAGCTCTTCAGCTCAAGGCTAGTGCTCTACCACTTGAGCCACAGCACCACTTCCGGCTTTTTTCTTTTTGCTTACCTGGTGCTGAGGAATCTAATCCATGCAAGGCAAGCGCTCTACCACTGAGCCACCTTCCCAGCCCTCTCAAAAGAACTTTCATCCATAATTTTTTTTTTAACCACTGATAGTTTATGGTCACATTTTCAAGTATATGGTTCTTTAAGTTATTTATGCTATACATATATTGTGTTTCCTTCTTTTATGTATTTATAGGACAGGAAAACAAAGATTTACTTCTATTAATTATAAAATTGTTAATATTCCTTTGAAGCTGAGTATATTGAAAAACCTACCTACCTTTCAGAATCCTTTGTAACAATCTTCACAAGGAAAGCAGATTAAAAAAAAAAGGTTTTAAAAAATCAGATATAGACAAAAATTCCAAGTTAGGGATAAAATAAAGCAATTGGGTTTTTCCTAGATAATTTGTTAATAGTTTGCAAACTGCTGCAATTGAATCTGAAATGATTAATCTCATTAAAAAAATCACACTGGGGTTTGAATTCAGGGCTTTTTGCTTGTTATCACTGGAGCCATACTTCCAGTCCTATCTTTTGCTGGTTATTCTTAAGATAGTATGTCTCTCTTCTCACACAGGTGTCTGCTTACTTTAGGCTTCTTACCATTACTAGGATCACAGGCATTGGTTAATGAATCCAGCTTCTAGCCATAGAGATATAATAACTTATGTTATATAACTTATGTACTTTTCTACCTGGGCTGGCCTGGAATCTAGATTTTCCCAGTGTCAATCTCCCAGATTGGGATGACAGGTACCACTGAGCCTAGTTACGAGCTAAGGAGTCTTACAGACTTTTCTATCCTGCTGGACTCACAACACTCCCAATTTCTCTCTCCCAAGTAGCAAGGATTATAGGCTTGAGACACTGGTACCTGGTTTCAATCTCAAATTTAGCTATGTCTATTATGTTTATCTTAGTAAGTGGCTTATCTTTATTTCTCTATATCCCTGTTTTCACTGACTGCTCACTACTTAGTTCAGGGGGAAACACTGAAATGTTTTATTTTTGTTTAGCCTCTTAAGTTTTAAGTTAATAGCTTAAAGCCAGGTTCAAGACTCAAATATTTCTTAATTTTCCACTGTCCTCTTTAGTTTTATTATACAAAATTTCGAACATAAACAATATGAACAGCATTATATAAAAAGCCACCATAATCATTACTTAACTTCAGTGATAATCAGCACACTATCATTCTTGGTTCCTCTACTTCTACCTAGTTTTCCTCTGTTATTATTTCTAGTTAGTACTTCTGTTTTTCCTATGTTATTACTTCAAGTAATAACTCTAAATTACAGAAAATATTAGATCTTAAAATGTACTAATCTTAGCCATACCATTCATGTGTACACACCTCTTAGTTTTTTCGTTTAAGGTTGCTCTCTACCACTTGAGCCACAGCTCCACTCAGCTTTTTGTGGTTAATTGTAGGTAAGAGTCTCATAGACTTTCCTGTCTTGGCTGTCTTTCAATTGTGAACCTCAGATCTCAGCCTCCTGAGATGGTGTGAGCCATCTGGTGCTCAGCAGCCATACCATATTTTAATTAGCTTATTTAGTTATACAGAAGGAATTTCAATGTTATATTTTCACGTTTATATTATATTACAGTTGGAATGTCCCCATTTTCCTTTTTCTCCTTCTTTCTTTTTTGTCCAAGACTGGGACTGAAACTCAGTATCTGATGCTTTCACTCAATGGCTAGCCACTTAAGCCATGTCTATTATGTTTCAAAAAAAACTAGTAAACTTCCCCCCCCCCCCAAAAGCAAACTGGTTCCTTCCTATCCTCACCAATATTTGTTTTGTGTTTTTTTTTTGGGGGGGGGGGTCTGGTTGTAGGGACTCTGGGCCTGGGCACTGTCCCTCAGCTCTTCAGCTCAAGGCTAGTGCTCTACCACTTGAGCCACAGTGCCACTTCCGGCTTTCTTTTTGCTTATGTGGTGCTGAGGAATCGAACCCAGGGCCTCATGCATGCAAGGCAAGCGCTCTACCACTGAGCCAACTTCCCAGCCCTCCTCACCAATATTTGTTATGGCCAGTCTTCTTAATTTTACCTTTTCTGTTGGAAGTGTACCATACTATTAACTTGCATTTACCTAATGGTTCATATGGGACACTTTTCCAAGTATTTATTACACATTTGTATATTTTCTCCAGTAAAGTGTTTGTTGACTTTTGTTTATTAAGTACATTTAAATGTGTTGTTTTGGTTGTGGGGCTTGAACTGAGGTCTGAACACTCTCCTTACGCTTTTTTTCTTTCTTTCTTTCTTTTTTGGTGCCAGTCCTTGGGCTTGAAATTAGGACCTGGGTGCTGTCTCTGAGCTTTTGTGCTCAAGGGCAGTACCTACCACTGTGAGCCTCAGCACTGTTTCTGGCATTTTGGTAGTTAATTGGAAATAAGAGTCTCACAGACTTTCCTTCTCACCTTCAGATTTCAGCCTCTTTCACCGTAGGGATTATAGGTAGCCAGGCTCTGGTGGCTCATGCCTGCTACACAGGAGGCTGAGGATCACGGTTCAAAGCCAGCCCAGGCAGGAAAGTCCATGAGACTCTTATCTTCAATTAACCACCAGAAAACTGGAAGTGGTGCTGTGGCTCAAGTAGTAGAGTGTTTGCCTTGAGCTGAAGAGCTGAGGGACAGCACCCAGGCCCAGAGTTCAAGCCTCACTACTGACCACAAATAAAAAGGATTATAGATGTGAGCCAATAACATTTGGCTCAAACAGATACATCATTCTGATTTTTCTTTTTAAAAGTCTTTTCTTTTTTGGTATTGAGGATCAAACCTAGGATATTACATACTTGTGAGGCAAGTGCTTTGCCACTGGGCCAGATCCCAACAGCTAAACTTAAATTGTAAAACTTTAAGTTGCAGGAGTTCTCTATACATTCTGGATACAAGACCTCTGTCAGACATGTATTATCAAAGTATTTTCTCCTAATTGACCACCCTTCCCTGTCTGTCTTTTTGTCAGACAAAGTCTCACTAAGTAGCCCAGGCTGGCCTCAAACTCCAGAGTCTCCTGCCTTATCCGCCTGACTTCTAGAATCATAGACAAGCACCAATACAACAAGCCTATTCTCTTTCCCTGCCTTTTCTTCACCATACCCCACCCCCTTGTACTAGGGCTGAACTTGGCCTCATACTTTCACTTGGCTTTTTAATCATAGTTGGTGCTCTACTACTAGAGCCATACCTCCACTTCCAGCTTTTTGCTAGTTAATTGGAGATAAAAGTCTTGCAGATTTGGCTGCCTGGGTTGGTTCTAAGCCTCAAATCTCAAATCTCAGCCTTTTGAGTAGCTAGAATTATAGGTGTGACCACTGGCACCTGACTTCCTACTTATTTTCTTAACAGAGCAGAAGTTTTACATTTTGATGTAAACTAATTCATCACTTTCTTTTTATCATTACTGCTTTCAGTGCCCTAGGAAACTGTCTGGGGCTATGGATGTGGCTCAGTGGTGGATTGCCTTTCCTAGCCACATGGGTATACTTTTCTTTTCTTTTTTGTTGGTCATGGGTCTTGAACTCTGGGCCTGGGCGCTGTCCCTCAGCTCTTCAGCTCGAGGCTAGTGTTCTGCCACTTGAGCCACAGCACCACTTTTAGTTTTCTGGTGGTTAATTGGAGATAAGAGTCTCATGGACTTTCTTGCCTGAGCTGGCTTCGAACCTTGATCTTCAGATCTCAGCCTCCTGAATAGCTAGGATTACAGACGTGAGCCACTGGCACCTGGCTGGGTATTTGCAATAACTAGTATATGTCTGAGTCAAGCAGAAAAGGTCAGATAAGTTGATGTTAGAGAAATGAACCCGAAGATAAGTATTCAAATGTTTTTTTTCTTTCATGCAATTGTTTCTAACATATTTATAAGATGATTTCTTTGTTGCTTTGCATGTCCCTCCCCCATGGTATAACCCCTGCTTTCACTGTATTTGATGTTGGTATAATTTGTGGAGGGGAAGGGAAAAAAAATAAATCGTTTAAATAGGGATACAGGTGGA